CCAAGACTGGGCCACTGCTCTCCGGCCTGGGTGATAGAGAGAGACCCTGTCAAAAAATAAAAATAAAGTATGGCTCAGGGATAGAACAATTTGTTTTATTTCTCTCTGTCTCTGTCTCTGTCTCTCTCTCCCTCCTCCCTCCCTCCTTCTTTCTTTTTGAGACGGGGTCGTGCTCTGTTGTCCAAGCTGGAGAGCAGCGGCGTGGTCTTGACTCACTGCAACCACCACCTCCTGGGCCCAAGCGATCCTCGCACTGGAACACGCAGCATGCCTGGCTAATATTTTATTTTTACATTTTTTTTTTAAATAAAGATGGGGTTTCACCATCATGGCCAGGCTGGTCTTGAACTCCTGACCTCAGGTGATCCAACCACCTCGGCCTCCCAGAGTGCTAGGATTACAGGCGTGAGCCACCGCGCCCGGCCGCCTGGCTAATTTTTAAAGATTTTTTTTTTTTTTTTGGAGAGATGGGGTCTCCTCTACTGCCCAGGCTGCTCTTAAACTTGTGGTCTCAAGCGAACCTCCCTCCTGGGTCTCCCGAAGTGCTGGGATCACAGGTGCGTACAGGCTTTTGGCTTCTCGCTCCCTCCCTCTATCTCCCTTTTGTCGCCGGCATTCCCTACGCCCCCGGCTCTTCTCGTTTTCGGGCCGCCGGCGCCCCAGCAGCAGCCGGGGACCTCCTCGTGGGGGGAAAAGGGGGGGGAAAAGTGGGGGGGAGGTGCCGGGGGCCCCACCGCCCGCTCTTGGGGCAGCCACGCGGCGTCTCCGGTGTCTACGGCCACACCACCCTGAACGCGCCCGATCTCGTCTGATCTCGGAAGCTAAGCAGGGTCGGGCCTGGTTAGTACTTGGATGGGAGACCGCCTGGGAATACCGGGTGCTGTAGGCATTTTGGCTTCCCGCTCCCTCCTTCGCCCTTTTGTCGCCCGGCTTCCCAACTGCCACCTGATTTTTCTTCCCCTTTTCCGCCCGCCGCAGCCCCCGCCGCAGCCTGGGACCTCGTGAGGTCGGTGGGTATCCGCCACTGCAGCACCTCGGGCTCTTGGGGCAGCCAGGCGCCACTTCTGGCGTCTAGGCCCTTACCACCCTAAACGTGCCAGATCTCTGATCTCGGAAGCTAAGCAGGTGTGTAATCCCAGCACCTTGTCCGACCTGGAGGACAACGGCACACATCCCCTCCCCCTTCCTCTCCTTCACAAGAGGAGACCCTGGGTCCTCTGGCGCAGAGCCTGAAAACATGGGGTGGGGCCCCCTGAAGGATTTGATTGATTGATTATGATTTATATTTATATTTTGTTTTAGTTTTTGAGACAGTGTTGCTCTTGTTGCCCAGGCTGGAGTGGAATGGCGCCATCCCCGCTCACCGCCTCACAGTTTAAAGTGATTCTCTTGCCTTAGCCTCCGGAGTAGCCGGCATTACAGGAACGCGTGGCTAATTTTATATTTTTAGTAGAGATACCGTTTCTCCATGTTGGTCAAGCTGGGCTCGAACTGCCGACCTCAGGTGATCCGCCTGCCTCAGCCTCCCAAAGTGCTTGGATTGCAGGCGTGAGCCATTGCGCCCGATATTTATTTATTTATTATTTATTATTTTATGTATTTTTTGAGACGGAGTTTCCCTCTTGTTGCTGAGGCAGGAGTGCAATGGCCGACCACAGCTGATCTGACCGCCTTGGCCTCCCAAAGTGCTGGGATTACAGGCGCGAGCCTCCCCATCCGGCTTATATTTTATTCTTTTAACTTTCGACTGGCAAGTGTTGAATCCAAAGTGCACCACCCCACCCCACCTCGTGATGGAGAGCAAACCTGCAGTGTCCCTGGGATGGGGCAGCTGAACCAGTCCCACCCCTGGCCCTGCAGGCTCCCAGCCTTAGAAAGCAGCCCGAAGTTTAATGAAACTCACACTGGGTGCTTAGCCTGTGGGCACTGACGTCAGGGACCGGCCTGATTTTCTGTCCACTGTGACGGTGAGATCCAAAGGCTGGGAAGACCCTTCTGTCTCGCCATGCCTGTTTCCTCCCTTGGCCCCTTTCCTTCTGCTCAGTCCCTGGTCCTGGTCTGGTTGTGTGGGGTTGGGGTGCCAGTGGGTAGGCAGTTCTTCAGCCCACGTGAAAGGACGGCCAGGGTCACTGTAGGGGTCCTGAGAACAGAAGGGTAGGGAACCGGGTGAGGAGTTTGCATCGTCTGTGCGGTGACACTGTGCATGTGGCGGTGGCACTGTTGGAGTGGCGGCGGCTGCATGCTCAGCTGGACCTCCAGAGCCACTGATCACTGGCAGGGGACCAAGGCTCACCCCTACTGAGTGGGGAAGGGACAGAAGGGACCGACCAGGTGGGAAGTGTTGAAGACCTGAGTCCAGACAGGCATGGCGGCTTGGCATATGCCTGTAGTCCCAGCTACTTGGGAGGCTAAGGCTGGAGGATCGCTTCAGCCCAGGATTTTGAGGCCAGCCGGGACAGCATAGCAAAACCCTA